CACCAGCACCTGTACCCACTATACCTGCCCAGCCACCAGCAGTTGCACCCATAGCACCTGCCCACCCACCAGGACCTGCACCCATAGCACCTGGCCACAGACCAGCATCTTCACCTACCACACCTGCCCATCCACCAGCACCTGCACCCACCACACCTCCCTACCCACTGGCACCTGCACCATCAAGCTCTGCCTCCCTGCCTGACACTGCAATGAGCTCTTCGTGCTCCTGTGTAAAGCCAGTCCTTCCACTCATGCTCTAAAACCCATCTCTTCTCACCTCTTCCAGAGCACTCCAGAAATTCTCCTCTCTCCCTCTTGACATCATTTTTCACCCTACTCAATCATTCCCATCAACATACAAACATGCATTTATTTCTCCCATCTTAAAATTAAAAATTAAACAAAAATATATTATTGCCTTCATTACCCAATCACCCATTTCTTTGCTGATCTTTGTGAAAAGACTGCTGGAAAAGTCTTTATTCACCATGAATTATCTCCCAATCACTTGCACACCAATCAGGTTTTTGTTCCCATCACTCCAAAAGAACTTCTCTGACCAAAGACACTAGTGATCATGACATTCCCACATGATTGTGCAATTCTTGGTCCTTGTCTTACTTAACCCATCAGCAGCATGTGTCACAGTTGTCACTTACTCCTCCATGATACACTCTTTCATACTTGGCTTGTGGAATGCCACACTCACTCCATTTCCTGCCTTCCTCAGGGCTGCCCTTCTCAGCCTTCTTTGAAAAAATAAAAGAAAAAAAAAAACTTCATTGTACCTTTGACCTCTTAATGATGGAGTATATCAGGCTGAACTCTCCGTCCTTTTCTCTGTCTACACTCACTCCTTTGGTGATCTCTCCCAGGCTCTTGCCATCAACTCCCAAATTTATACTTTAAGTCAATATATTTCTCCCAAAACGCAGATTCAGCAATGTACTTGAGACAATGTACTTAGACACCTCAAGCTCAACATGACTGTACAGAATTCTTTTTACCTTACCACATCTATCTATAACCACCCCATTTCAGTTGATAGCAAGTTTATCCTTCCAGTTACTCAGACCAGAATTTTCGGAGTCACCCTCAACTCTTTTCTTTTTCTCACACTTGACATGTATCTATCAGAAAATGTATTTGGTTATACCTTCAAAATACATGTAGCGTCAGAACATGTTTCATTTACCTCCTTTGCTACCACACTAGTCTGAACAAACCGATTCTCACCTGGGTTGTTGCAATAGCATCCTAGTAGGTCTTCCTGTTTCCACCTTTGTTCCCCTACATTAGCAACACGGCAGTCAAAGGAATGCTTTTAGACCTAAAGCAGACCTCTCTCCTCAAAATCCTTCAAAGGGTCCTATCACACACAGAGTAAAAACCAAAATCCTTACATTGGCTTAAAAGGCCCTATATGATTTGACTCCTGTTTCATTTCTGACATAGTATCCTAATATTTCTGCCCATGTCTTTTTGCTGTAGTCAACATTGTTTTTAAAAAATTTATAACTGAGGGCCGGCCCGGTGGCGCACTGCTACAGTGCGCCGCTTGGGAGCGCGGTGGCGCTCCCGCTGAGGGTTCGGATCCCACATACAGACCGGTTCCCGCTCACTGGCTGAGCGAGGTGCGGGCGCAACACCGAGGGTTGCGATCCCGTTGCCGGTCCCGGTCCGATACAGGCATGACACTGAGGGTTGCGATCCATTGCCGGACACGAAAAAAGACAAAAAAAAAAAAAAAAAAAAAAAAAAAAAAAAAAAATTATAACTGATTAATTTTTTTAAATTTATTTGAAACATAAT